AATAGCACTTAAAAACAACATATATTTTACGCAGATGAATAAGTGATTCTCATCGCTAGATGATGTTCTGTGATGATCAGCAAATCCACAGCTGCATGCCAAAACTACAACGAGCGTGTTTTGTAGGATGTGGATATGAATGTGAAAGAAGAGAAGAGTCCCACCGAACCCACAACTGTGTCCACACCCGCTTGTCTTCATTCACTGTCACAGTAACAACTCACACTCGATATGAAATAATAAAGAATAAATAACAATGCTCAATTTGGAACGAATCATATTGCAATAATTGCATGGCAATTGTGTAACAGTAGTCTCATGTTCGATGACCAATGCAGGACATGGTTTTTGGATATATTCGTCTCATTGAATTGGAGAGTGGGTGGGGGGAGTGTTGGTGAAGTGAACCTTCACACCGACACCCTTTTTTTGTGACATCAAAGAAGATGTCATAGTGATTTTGAAAGCATCAATGAACAAATCTAGAATTATTTTTTATCGTGAATAGAGCATAAAAACACTTCTGTCTCTGTTTACCATCTCATTCTCAAAACGTTGCGTGAGAAAGACATCAGTCATTTTCCACCAACTTCTAATAAAAAGTTTTGATCACTTGGAATCATCAATATATTAGATAATTATGTTTGCGCGTGGATTTCAATGAAAAAACATCAGCGAAATTTCTTTTTCGAGGAAAAATACGCGATGATCTGCTAAATTATCTTGTATTTAGTCAAATCACAGTATACAGTTAACTCCATTTGATAAAATGAATTGTATTGTACACTACTATTGAAAATCATTCGTCTTTGCTTTATATAAGAATTATTCTAAAGAGAATTTCTTTTTTTCCGTTTTTGATCTCCTGAAAACTATAGAATATCTTGACAGATTAAATATCAAAATCTAAGGTCCAGTTGCTAGAGAGTCGTTTCATGAGAGAGAATGGCAACAAGATGCTAATGGCATTCATTTCGTCAGTGAATTAGTTTATGCAGTTTATCTCAAGCAGACATTTTGACACAAATCAGATAAAGATGTCGCCACTTTTTGATAGATCAATTGAATTGATTGCAAAAAAAAAATAAATCAAAATGAAATCGTTGAAAAGCTTCATGAATGATCGAAGTTTGTTTTTGTCTATTGAGTTGAACAGAATTCTTTTTGATTGAAACTCTAATTGAATGGTTAAGTTATGATTAATTATAAAGGTAAATCTTTAATGATCATCATCATTTCATCCTCTTTGTTGTTATTTGCCATTTTGAACAATAGACAATAGAATTTGCTTGTTTTTCGAATAGAAAAAATGAAACTTTCAGTCGAACATAGATCATGTTTTGTTATTATTGATTTTTACCAATTCGTCTTCATAATGATAGAAATAACGTTTAATCATTTCATCAGTAAGTCTTTTTCTCTTGTTGATTTCTGTGGCATGTTTGATTTTTCCTAGAAGATTTGAAGTTAATGAAAATGACACAAAGGGTTGCTAGTTTTGTTCTTGCTCATTACTTGTATCGAATTTCAATTTGAAAGAATACCCATATCATTGAAACCGAGTCACTTTTGGCGATTACTCGGCAACTTTCCAACAAGCTTCAACAGTAAGTTTTTGTTTGAATTTATATTTTTTCTTTTTTTGTTCAGATTATCTAATCATCTCAAACTTGTATTTGAGGTTGAAAGACTCGATTGTGAACATCTATGTATGAAATTTAAAGAGATTTCATTGAAGAGAAAAGTTCATGATCAATTCTATGGTGAATTTAGTTATTTTTCTTCATCGAATATAAGTGTATTAGCAGGTAAACTTTATTCTTCACTATGGCTGACAAATCTTCGTGCTCATTCTCATCAAGAAACGAATAAATAATTAGAAAAACGTTCAATTCCGAAACGGTAAATTGCTTTGTGACGTTCTTAATTCTTAATTCGAATGAATTTTTGATGAAAAATAGATGCCATTTACTGATCAATTTAAAGATATTCAACCTATACAGAAAACTCATGTTTTTTTTCCCAAAGAAGATCATTTCCAATAATGAAACATTTTTTTCTGTACCGAATAGAATGAGTAAGTTGTGCCAAACGATCAATTAACTTGATTATCAATTCAATATCTTCGCTCTGTGTGTTGTCTCGTGAGAAGATCTTTGTCTAGTTCTTCTTCAAGTAGACAGCACTTCTCACACTACTTAATCGAACTGGTAGAATACATCTCACGATGAAAAGGTCAAAGAATATTGTCATAAGAGTATCATTAACCTGAAGAAAGTATTCTAGAAAGTTTTTTTCATTTTAGATAACTGATAAAAAGTTGATATGATGTCATCATCGACAAAGCCAGTAGAACACACCAAGGAAGAGTTAGTAAGTCATAGTTCTAATGATAAAACTAAGATCCACTGTGAAACACGAGAATCATGTATAATATGCAACACAAAGCTCTGATCTTTGTCTAGTTGAGCTTGTATCAGAATTGATCAGTTTCGGAAGAAAAGAGGCACGTGTTGTTATTAATAAAACTAGGTGTCTAGGTCACTAGTCAAATCAATGCAGTTTCTCGTATTTAAATATTTTTTTTTGAAACTTTGATTATAGAATACTAGTAATAAATCATCGTCAGAAGAAGAACATGAAGTTCAACAACGCCTCATCAAATATAGCCGGATAATTCGATCTGAACATAAGACCTCGAATGAACGTGCATTTATTGATTATCGAACAAATCAATTGAAAGAAAACGTTCCATTTACCTATTCATCCAATGGTCACACTCATCTAATAATCAATTCTGATGTGAACATTAATTTAACAACCATAAAACAACTCGCATATTTATCCACATTTGTTGTTAAAATTCGTGTCGAATTTTAGCAAGCAGAAATAACAAGTGATATAAACGGAAGTGATTTAATCATCAATGATCGATATATTATTACAGCAGCTCATATCTTTAACCCATTAATAGAAAAAGAAGATGTACTTGTGCCATATAAACATATTGAATTTACGTCATTATCATATGCATCTGATCAATTATTCAACACAGATAATACAAATATATTTGAAGCTAAAATAATCATTCGTGGTATTAATGGCATTGGATTACAACCACACGAAATTTGTTTGAATTATGATGATGATGTTGCAACTTTGAGTATTTGCAGATATGAACAAATAAAAGATGTATTAATGTCCGAAAACAAAAAGGCTTTTTGTCCAACACGATTATTGGACAGAGCCGAACTTGAACCGAATTCATCATTATTTTTGCTGGCATATTGTTCAACAATCCGAACAAAAAACGATGTGGAATTTTATGAAGAATGTCCAGGTTATTCACTATATACACGAGAACATTTGAATTCTTCCATGCATCCCAACCATCGAACAGTGTCGATAGGAAAATGCATAGCAAACGACGACATACATATCGTTCATGATTGTCCTTCATTATGTGGTGCTAGTGATGGTTGCATATTTGATGCCGATGGACGATTGGTTGGTGTGCATACTGGTGTTTGTGATGGTGATGTGCATTACAATGTTAATGGTGAAAGACGATTATGACCGTATGCACTGAATCAAGCATTAGCAATATATTCGGATCGGATTATACATCATCTAGCAACTGTCATACCAACTTGGAAATAGCAACACTATGATGATATTATTCTGTGCAAAATATTGAAAAAAATTCTTATTAGATTTTCTGTCTCTTCTTATTTTATCATTCATGTCATTGTTTCATCTTATAGGTTCATCACATGATAAACAATGGAGTTCAGATGGATCAAGAAAGAAGAGTGCGATGACACCGACGAATGATATTTTATTAAGTCGTATCAATCGTTCATAGAACAACGCCTGGATAGAGAGACAAGCATAGATGCAACAATTTGACATAGCAACAGTCCTAAATAAGAAAAAAGATCATAAGAAAGAAGAGAAGAGGTATAAACAATAGCTAGGGATATTGTTGGTGACATCAAGACAATAATTTTCGACGAGAAATCAAAACAATAATAGACAAGCCTAGAGCTGTTGTAGCCATTTTCGTCAACCATCCTATCCAAATGGTCAAACCTTTTCTCTTCCAATTTTTGCATACATTCGTCAATGATTCTGCATCATTACACCTCGGAAAAGCTGTTTCTGGGATTTTCCTGTCCAAAAATTGGCATAATGGTGCCCATCCATCTTCTACTTTATAAATGAGAATTCGTTCCGATGCAATTGATGATTTAATCTTGTCTATATACGATGACATCATATGTTTGCCTGCATTCGGATAATTGTATACATTTTGCCACCAAGCTAAACGTGGTTTCATATATTAATGATATGCATAGATGTCGGCGAGAGGCCATATACATAAAGTATCCCAACGCGAAAAGCATATATTTCATTAGAAGTTGTAAAGATATGAACCACTTTTCAGGATCGCGGTATTGCAAGATCACCTGAAAAGTAAGAACAAATAGAGAGAAATAGTTCAATTCAAGTATTTCATTATTTTTCAATGTACCTTCGCATTAGGATAGGCTTGAGCAATTTCAACTGCAAAATCAGCAAACGGAGAATTGACACCAGCCACATATTCTGGGAAACGTTTATCAAAAAAATCTCGCCAATCTTGACTGGTCCATGTTTTCTCGAAATGATTTGCATAGACTTCTCGCCAGGCTGCTATTACTTGTGGATCAGCAGTGTCAGGATTCATATGCATTACTTTTACAAAACCTAATTGTTCAAGAGCCATTCGCATTGATGTTGTTCCCGTTCGTGGTAGACCAGCAACGATAACTTCGATAGGCATGACGTTGTAAAAGAGGCTCGAATGTATTCTAAACGGAGAGAGACATTCATATATAAATGTTTGTACACCAAAATAAACTGATCGTATACACGTTTCACTAATAACAAGAAAAGAAGCTGCATACAGAGAGAGAAAAGGAGAACACGTATGAATATTGCATAAATGACACATACAAAGTGCTTCTTAATTATTGATAATGCTCTCATATGTTCGAAGGAGAGTTTTTGAAAAGATATTTGACGGTCACCTAACCTTGAAAAAGATTTGTCTCTGGTTTCACTTTCAAATACCCTTTTCCGGTTATTATATCACTTTTATTTTTCGCAGTGTAACGACAATATTTGTGCTAGATCACATGTCACACTGATATAGTGCAGAATATACAAAAGATGAAAAGTAACTGTCAACAATCGGATGCTTCTACAATATGCGCACACGCCACTAACGACAGTGATCGAACGAGGAAAAAATTCGTCGGACATTCTCATTCACCCAATCAAATAATCATTGCATAAGATCATGTCAGATGATATAATATGCTGACGAAAATATCTTAAAGGAAAATATGCAGTATTGATTCGTTGGGTTAGAATAAAGTAAACCGTTTATATTTTTAATATTTGCCTTCTATTTTTCACTCGATCAAAATACTCTTTTTCTGTCAAAAGATAACACTTTATGTTCTCTACAAATTTGAAATGGTCTTCTTTTTATTTATGTTAAAACAAAGTTCAAAATTGAAATATACTAAAGCAAATGAATATTTTTATTATATTGAAAATTCATTCGAATAGGAAAAAAAAAACTTCAATATAAAATGGACGGAAAAAAAAGACGTATCACTGTAAATGAGATAAATATGTTCAAGTAAAATAATAAGCAAGTTCTTCTTCTTCTTCATTTGTTTTATTGATTGTATCTTGATCAGCTTTTTTCAATTCAGGTGGTCTTGATCGTTCAGCTATTGGACGACCAACATGTTTCTTAGGTGGTTCTTTAGCACGTAATGCAGCTTTACGTTTCTTTTCTTCAGTAGCTCGTTCTTCTTCAAGTTTCTTTTGTTCACGTAAACGAATACGTCGTTCTTTTTCTTTGGCTTTTTCAGCTTCTTGTAATCGTAGTGGATCCATAAGTTCAATTTCTTGAAATAATTCTTCAAGACGATTTTCAATAGATGCAAGATTTTTTAATGGATCACTTGTAACAGGATTTTCACTAAAAATTTTCTTATAAACATTACCTATAACTTCTGATAATTGTTCAAGATATTTATCTTGTTCAACTTCTTCATTAAATAATGAATGAGCACTAAGAAAAAAGAAACGATATATATATATAGAGAGAGAGATTTCTCTTTTTGTTATTTTCAATATGAAATTTTTTTACCCAACTTTGTCCAGTAATTCTGTTTCTTTTTGTTTTTCTAATTCAATTGCTTGTTCTAATTGAGTAACTTGTCGTTGTAATGATTCAGTTTCAAGATTTTTCTTTTCCATAGTTACTTGTAATTCTCGTGTTATTTCTTCTAATTGTTCTTCATGATCTTGACTATTTTGTATTAATGATAAATTTTGTTCTTCAAGTTCAGTAAATATCGCTAATAATTGTTGAGGATCAGTAAAATATAATTCAAAATCATTATCTAAATCATTCATATTCAATTCAGATGGTGATTTATTCATATCTGTTTCACTGCCATGTTTACCACCAAATTCTACATCATGAGAAGAAGCTGATGATCGACGTCGACTACCATCTTTAACAAAACTTTTTTGTGGTAATAGACCACCACCACCACCACCACCACGTTTACCAATTTTCGAATCAACAATACGACTTTGTGGACGACTACCTGATTTACTTGCTAGATCATCAGATAAAGATGATTGTACATCAAGTTTTTGACGTGAAAGACGTTCTTGTTCGAGTTTTTTACGACGTTCTTCTTTCCATTCCTAAAAATACATAAAACAAATCGAGATTACTAATGAGAATAGAAAATCAGAATGGAGTTATTCAAAAATGATTTTTTAAAATTATTATCTGTTTACAAGTCATCTATAAAGAACGTTCGGCACACACAGTTCGGATCTAGACACTAATGTGTTTGGTTCGACGGGTTCTAGACAGAAGGAACGGAGAAAGTCAAATACGTCCTCAATTGACATTATTTCTGAAGGATTACTGTGAGACTTTCGAACCTTTGCTTTTTACATTATACGTAAAAATTGATAATAAATACAGCACAATCAATTTCAAAAGGAATATGATCAGATTTATCGTTTCTAGATATGTTCGTTCTATTGCTTCCTTTCAGACTTTCTTTTTTGGGAACATTTCAAAGACTCATTCATACTGCTTAACCTATGAGTCCTACAAAATTTCTGAACGGAAAGAATACAGAATTCTGATTCTAAGCTAATCGTTATTTACTCACAACAAAAGACTCGACACTTGGATGTCATCAAACATGTTTTTTTTCTTCCTCCTATCAATAAAATATTTTCTTTGACATTCCGCATCCTCTCCCTTGAAAATAAAATTTTTTTTGTTATCGAATGCCCTCTTAGATGATTTAGAAATATTCTTCAATAGATAATACCGTTGGTGTAATTTGATCAAGAAATTGTTTATATTGTTTTAATTCATTTAATTCATCTTCACGTCGTACAAGTTCACTTTTTAATGCTGTTATTTGTCCATGTAAACGTTTAATTTCTGCAACTTTTTCTAATTTTTTACGTGCTTCTTCATCAGCTCTAATGCAAATAAAACAAATAAATAGAAGCTCTTCAATTAAGAAAGAAGAAAGAAAAAAACATTCTTACAAACGAGCTGCTTCATTAGCATTTTTATTATTTGCTGCTAAAAATTGATCAAACATATGCTAGACAACAAAAAAAAAGATGAAAATTTCAATAAATAAAAAAAAAGATAATATTTATTAACAATAAAAATACATACTGCATCTTCTTCTAAATCTTTTTCTGCTTTTTCAATTCGTTGTTCTTCAGCAGCAGTTATCTCTTCAAGTTTACGCATTTCAGTACGTTTCACTGTTAATTCATACTTAAAGACAGAAAAAAAGAAAAAGCGAACAACTGAAAAAATATAATTCAATAAAAGCTTATAGAAATTACTTGTAAAACAAACATATTACGTTTTTTTCCAATAAAATCTTGTAAACTTTCATTTTCAACACGACGATTACGTGTAATAGCAACAAGCCATGGTGCATTATCACGCATTGATGCAACACGATTTTCTTTATTTTGTGCACGCTAAAAAAAATAAATGATTACAAGTTTATTTATTTCAAATAGGGAAAAAAAAAATAACAAAATGAATTGTTTACTTCATGTTCAATTTCTTCATCAATTTCTTTCAATACACGAAAACGTCTTCCTTTCATAAGACGTTGAGCTTTCGATAATTTTTCATGTACTTTAAGATTTTGCATACGTTCACGTTCCTTTTTTTGTTTTTTTTAATGAAATAGAAAATATCCATTTGAATGATAAAAATTAAAAAAAAATTACTTGTGCTTTTTCATGTTTATCAAGTTGACTTAATGCACAAAAATCCACATCAGGTGAAAATTTAAATGGATTTAAATCATCTTTTTTTTTTAAATCACTAAGTTGTTGATGTTGAAGTTGAAGACCTGTTGGTATACTTGATGAACGATGTTCACCTTCACTTGGATGAGCTGATGATTGAGTTTTTGGCTTTCCTTCTCCATCACGAAATGTTACTTTTGATGTAGCTCGTGAACCAAGTCCTTGAATAAAAAAATTAACAAAAATTTATTTTAAATCATCAATAAATTTATTGAAATATTTTGCAAATATCAGTAGGTAACAGCTCACATAATCAATGATTCGAAAAAGGATTGAACAAGTATTCTTTTTACCTTGTTTTGCAGATCCTGGACCTGTTTTTTCTGCTCCAGCTGTATCACTATCGACCATAGAAGACATGATCGATAGATTTTTGTTTATTATCTACAAATACAAAGAATATTTGGTTTTAGTGAATAATAATATATTTCACTGTTTCAGTGAAATTTCCTACACACACACACACACGCGTACGCTCAGACGAAAATAAATGTTAGATGAAAAGAATTGAAAATAATGAGCGAAAAAAAAAACATGATAGCAGGATATGAAATTGCACACTAATCTAGCATTATTTTTCCATTTGACTATTAAAATATTCAATGCCATCCACCTTTTTCAAGAAGTTTATCTTCATTAAGAACAGTTTTCCAGTCAACTTCAAAATATTTTTTATCATATCCTTCAATTAAATCCCATTCTTCATTTTTTTCACTTAATGCTCGTGAAATTTTCGGAAGAATACCAACAACTTGTTTAAATGGTATAACATGTAAACGATCTGATCGTGATGGATCTTCAGGTAAAAGAATACCTAAAATGAAAAGTTATTGTTTTTCTTTTTCTCATAGAAAATTTCATAAAAAAAAAGGTTAATCAATTACCTAATTTACGAAGAAATTCAATAGCTTGATCACTTTTAAAATTAATATTAGCATTTGTTTTCTGACGAATCCAACTTTCAATTTCTAATTCAAGAATTTTTGGTGTCACTTCAACATTTAATTTTTGTCTCCATAAAATAATCATATAAGCAATTAGACTAGAAAATAAAATCATTCATTATTTTATTTTGTTTAATGTCTGTGACATTATTGATTTATCTCTTATAATAGATTAATTGATAGAAGAGCACAAAATTCTAAAATATATGATAGATTACTACGTTTTTTACTCTCATCCCTTACAGTGACGTATCCAGGATTTTTCAGTATGTTGAATATCGATTTCTGAGCATGGAATCCAGATAAAACTCGTGTTAGATCTAAATAATGGGATTTTATCAAAAAAAATTTGCACTCCGAGGTTGCGAAAAAAATTAGCATTTTCCTGATCCCCCCATCTAAAATCTTTTGCTCTTAGGAGTATCATGATTTTTAGAATTTCATAGGAAGCTACATCGAATTTCATCGATAGATTTCAAATCTCGTCTAAAAATATGCAACCGTTCTAGAGCTATGACGTTTTGAATTTTTGCTACATGTCAAAACAATTTTTGCATAATTTCAAAATGTCATAACTCTGGAATGGTTGCATATTTTTAGACGAGATTTGAAATCTATCGATGAAATTCGGTGTAGATTTCTACGAAATTCTAAAAACCATGATACTCTTAAGAGCAAAAAATTTTAGAGGGGAGGATCAGGAAAATGCTAATTTTTTTCGCAAACCCCGAGTGCAATTTTTCTTTGATAAAATTCCATTATTTAGATCCAACACGAGTTTTATCTGAATCCCATGCTCAGAAATCGAGATTCAACATACTGAAAAATCCTGGATACGTCACTAATCCCTTATAAAAAAAAACAACAAAATGCATTTTATAGCAATTTTGTTGATAAATGTATTCTCTGTTGTTCATATCATTTTAACTATTAAAACTAATAGATTTTCCATTTTTCTTAAATACTCGATTATATAGAATAAATTATTATTATGAAAAACATATAAACATACATTTCTTTACTTAATTCATCTTCGGCTCGATCAATAATCATTGCTAATAATTGTTTATTTGATGCAATATTTTTATAAAATAATAAACGATTCATATTTGATAAATAATTTATTTTTGATTTATAAGAACTTCTTATTAACCAATATATAAGTAATAATGTTAAACTACTACCACCAATAACTAAACCTGGTATATGAAATTCAGCCATTGTTGTTATTAAATGTGTAACAGCTGTACTTGTAGCAATAAAAAATGTAAACCAAATAAGTCGTTGTTCAAACTGTCCTATTTGTAATTTACCAATAGGTAATAATTGTGGAAGATATTGTAATGGTATATCACGAAATGCTTTCAAATATAAACGATCTTGTCCTTTAAGACGTACAGCTAATATAATACGTTTAAAATAATCATTTGATATTAATGAATTTGATTTTCGAAAAAATAATTTTTTCCATCTTGATAATTGTTCAATTGGTATTTGTTCACGACCAAGTATCCAAAATTTTAATACATCATAATCATCACCATTGATTTTAATATTAACATTTGTTGATGATGATGAATTATCTTGTATAATAAATTTTTCTAAAAGTATATTTCGTGGTAATTCTATAAAATTTGAACGATGAAGTAAATCATCTATTTTTTCTAATAACCAATATTCATTATCTAAACGATCACGATATGATATACGATAATGATCAATTATTTCATTATCAGGATTTAATGGTTTAAATAAATTTTTTAATTCATTTAATATTGGATGATAACGTTGTACAACAGCACTATCAAAACCTTCACATAATTGATGAAATACAAGACGATCATCATCATTATCAACTAATTGATTGTCACTAGCTATTAAACGTATTAATGAAGGACGTGTTAACTAAATAAGTGTTATTTTTTTTTTTTTTTTTTTTTTTTTATCTCTAAAAGAAATAAAAATCCTACCGGAATAAAATGTTCTCTTGTTGTAGTAATATTCATTGAAGATTCTTTATTTTTCTTTGATGGAAAAAATGGTAAACCAGATCGAATACTTCGAAGAAAAGCAGAAAAACGTGATGATGGTATTCGTTCATGATGTTGTTCTTTTTTTATTGTATGTTGTTCATTTGTTAATGATGATACATTTGAATGAATTGGTATACCAGATAAAATAAATGTACTTGATACTTTTGTATCTTGATAAAGATCATTAGAAATAAGAGATGTTTTATCTAATTGTTTAACTTCTAAAAGATCATTAAGAGAAATAGATTTTATATTATCATTGTCAAGTTTTTTTTTTTGTTTTAAATAATTTGTTGGAATTCCATCATGTGTTGTTTGTATTTCACTAACTTTTGGATATGGTGAAGTAGATAAAGTCGCTCGTATTGAAATAATAATCAAACGACGAGTAGTTTGATGTAAATAATAACTAGATAACATCTAAAAACAAATGAGATCTAGTTAGTTAGCAACCGTTCGTTGCTTTCATCATGATCAAAATAGCAAAAGAAAAATGAGAGAAGTATTACAATAATCAATAGAATATTTGTTAAGATGTCGTTAGTTATGCGAAATAGAAAAGAAAGATTGAGGATGTTTCATAGCAACAAAATTTTTGTCAATGTTGTTTCGTTTCTTTTTTTTAAATATGTTTACTAAAACTTCCTTGTTGTGGAAATGGTAAAAGACGTTCAATACGTGGAATAATTTTAAGTAATTCTTGATGAACTTCTTCATCTTCTTGTGTTTTTCTTTCACGATTTAATAATATTTTTGCAAATTCCATTGCAGCTGGACGTGAATTAAGTTCAATATAACATTTAATAATCATTAATAAATTTTTACTATAAAAATTTGGTGAAATTTCTTCAGCTAAAAGAAATTTTTTTAAAGCATCATGAACTGTTCCTTTAGGTAATTCACCATAAATTAATTTTGCTATACGTCGTTTCCAACCAGATAATTGTGCTATTTCCCAATACCTTGATTGTTTTTCAAATAGAAAAAATAAGAAATTCTAGTTTTTTCTATTTTTGTTTTAAAAACTTTACCATGAACCTAAAAGATAATATGATGTTGGATCTTGTGGATTTAAACGAACAGCTTCTTCAAAATGATCAAGTACTTCATATGCATTACGAATTTGTTCATCTGTACTTGTATATTGACTTTTTTCATTAAGTAAAATCCCATACCATTTATGAACAGAATAAATATGATTTCCATGAATAAGAGCTAATTTAACTTGTTCAAAACCTTCTTCAACTAATTTTCTTTTTAATTTTTTATCTTGTGTTATTAATGAAAGTTTATAAAAAATTCTAATGAAATAAAATGAATAAAACTAAGAAAGTACGATTGTGTGATTATATATATACCGAGCTATACGCCATTGAATATAATGACTTTGAAATAATTCATTTGTTTTATTTTTTTCAATATATTCATATGCTTTTTGAAATTCTTCTTTATCAAACATTGTATCTAATTGTTCAACAATATTTGCAAGATCTAGTTAAGAAAAGAAATATTTTTAAAAATATTAATATTTAAATCAAAAAACAAACTTTTTGGTCGATTTGATTCATTAGAATCTTCAATTTGAGTTGTTGCACGAACCATTAACCATAATGGTAAAGTTGAAAGAGGAATGCGACGTTGAATTTGAGTTAGAAACGTAGTACGTTTATTGAACAATGGAATAAAACGCCATAGCTAGAAAAATAAAATCAAAATCATTTATATTAGTGCTTTTTATCTAAAGATGAAATGATCTTTTGCGGTTTGTAATTCGTATGATATCTATTGTATACCTGATTTCTATGACGTGAAAGAAAGAAAAGACGTAACCATGAAAAAGAACGCATTAATAATATGATCTAAAATATTTATTTTTATTCAGAATTATTAAATAAAAAAAAATTTTAAAATATTTGTTTAAAAAAATATTGAAATTTTTGCAACAATATTCAAAACAAAATTTTGTCCTTAAACAGACAAATGTCGAAATATTTCTTTATAATGTATAATCACGCCAAATACTAGAAAAGTATATAAGATAATATTTATACATTTAAGAAAATATATTATTACCAATGAGTAACTTGACGATCGTTCGGATAGAGATTGATCAATTCCAAAACGCGAGCAGGAGGATCTAAATCATGACGTAAAGCTCGTTCATAACGATCAATACGTGGAATACCTAATCAAATACATATGATGTAATCTTGATTGATAAATATTTCAATAACAATCACTCACCAGTACAAGGTCCATATGTCATATCAAGATCAAACTGTTTAAGTACTTCTAAATCTTTGTTAGAAATTTTTTTTACAGTTGAATTCGTTTCTACAAGAAGATTAAGTACATTGTCTTGTCTCTTACTTTTCTAATCTTCATAAGAACTTACTTGAAGTATCTACAACATTCTGTTTATCGACGATTGAAGTATCATCATTATTTTTTTTTCGTTTTTTTATCGAACTATTGCCAATCATATCCTCCAATTTTCTCTGTCGTTTTGTATTTTTCGACATCTAAATCAAAGTAGACAATTTCGTTTTCTATTTTTAATTTATTTTTTTTTATTTAATCTCTCGTTCTGTCTCTATTTATCAAAAGAAAAAGGAAGATAACGGCACGCATACACACAGCGTACATAGACGAAATCGTTTTTTTTTTGTAAAAAAAAAAAAAAAAACTTCGAAATCAAACGAAAGGAGAAAAGAAACCGTGACTTTGAATGAAAGATAGGTTGAGAAAATCCACAATACAAAATACATAAATATGATCTAACTATCAAACAAAAAAAAGCAGAAGGCAACAATCAGATCATATGTCGATTCAAATTTACAGTTTCATCAAAAAATAAAATACACACACGAAGAAAAAAAAAAAAAAAAAAGGAAAGAACTAATGAAACTTTGATCACTTTATATGAGAAGAAGAAATCAAAAAATAAACATCGAATTTTTTTTTTTTTTTTTGCTTCTCATTTAATGTTCGTGGAAGGATTATTTCGAAGAAAATCACTAACAATCGATGGTATATCGCCAGGAGAACGTGTAGCATATGCTTTTATTAATGGATTTAATGATGAAACATGTAAAAATGTACTTGATTTTATTGCACGCATAGCTGTATTTGGTGTTGGCGCTGTAAGACCATCAAATGTTGGTGATGACGGTGGTTGTATTAAATTTTTTGTTTGTAATCGTTGTTCAAAATCTATTGTTTTTATTTCATCATCTTCATCAATATCATCATTAATTGTTGATGTAAGTGATGTTGTTAATGTTTCAAATGTACGTAATGACATGCCAAATAAACGTTGTATAACTTGTTGTAATAATGCATTTGTTTCCATTTGAACACCATGTGTTGGTGATAATGGTGGTTCTTCATTTAAATCAGGATCAGGTGCCATTGTATCAATTGTTTGTGATATTAATCCTTGTTGAGTTATTAATTCAACAAGATTTAATCGATTTTTTGTTGTTCTAAAAAAAAAGAAAATTCCTTTTTTTGAAAAATTAATTGAATAAAAAAAATCAAAATTTACTCAGATGAATTTAATGGTAATTCTAAATTATTTTCTTGTGTTGTAGAAGATTCTTGTTCTTCTTCATCATCTTCTTTAACTTCATGTAAAATTTGAGCACGTGTATATACACCGGGTATTGTTTGAAGACATGATGAAAGACTTGGTTCAGCTAATTGCTGCCAACGTTTTAACATATTTGATCCTAATATATATCAATTGAAATATATATATATTATTTGTGTTTAATTTTACCTTCAAATCGTTTAACAAGTCTTAATCTTGATGAAATTCCATGTGGTACTCGATGTTCAAATTGATAAGTAGATGATGATCTATTATAGAATTATTTTATTATTAATAGATTATATAAAATAAAACTTTCACATGCATACTTCGAATCAGCTACAGGTATAGGCGAACATCGATGACAATATGGACAAGACGAATTACTAAGCAGGTGAAATTATATTAAAGCATTATTAAACATCAAACAAAATTTTGTCTACTTTGTTTTTTTTTTCTAGTTACTCAAAAAAAAAAATACACACAAAAGAAAAATATTTTCTATTATATTAATAAACTAATTTTAATGTAAAATAATAATTCTATATGAACTAATTTAGTATTCGTTAATCGTTTATTTTTCATTATTGATATTCACAAAAAGAATTACGGATGAAAACAAAAAAAAAAAAACGTTATTTTGAAATATTTCAATCCGACTTCTTTTTTTTTCTTTGAAAGATATTTAATAGACTATATGAATCTTCTTTATCCAAGATCAGTCGAAGCCTACCTACGATGCCATAGAAAATAATTATAAATATGTTCAATTATCTGTCTAAGTAAAATTTCATATTCTAATTTTTATCAGACGAAATTAAAATATTGTTTTCAATGATGAGATCGATTAGAAGTAATGCGAAGACATCCACAATAGAGAATGTATGAATTATAGTTAAACATTCAATAGTTTTAAGCGAATTCTTCTATATATAAAAAATCTTAGTTCTGAACATCTCTGCACTTCATCAAATAAAAAGTTTAATTTCAAGATTCTCGACAGTTTCTTAAAATGAAGTGTCTAATACTAGCTTGATATTCGCGCAGTGACAAAAATAGTTTATTGTAAAAGTTTCAGATTCTTTGATTGGTTCTTATCCTCAAAGAAGAATATCAAAGCTACCGGCATACTAGTGGCGTAACCAGAAAAAACTTGTAGAGGAGGCTCAGCCCCCCTGGTCATGTCTGTAGACGGGGCTCAAGCCTTTCTTAAGCGAGACTCAACCGTTTGTAGAGGGGGCTGAGCCCCCTCTAGCCCCCCTCTGGTTACGCCAATACGGCATACTTAAGCAGTGTAAAAAACAAAGTTGTATCTAAGAATCGGAACAACAAAATGATTTCAAACAATTCACAATAAACTATTCTTGCTAAGACCAGTCTGTATAGAAAGTTTCTTCATGTTTCTGATCTAGATCATAGTATCAATCTATAATATATAATGTGGTGAACTTTCACAAGAAGAAAAATCGAACAAAGTAGAAAAATTTCTTCTAATACTACATGAGATTTATTAAAAATTTATCCTCATAATACCTGCTTAAACTTTCTGTATCACTAAATGCTGAATCATTAATTGTTGATTCTCCATCGGTATCACTTTGTTCTCGTGATATTTTTCTACGTAAATTTTTTTTAATTTTTTTAATTTTTTCATTGTTATATGTAGTTGGAGGACAAAGTTGATTTGGATCTTCAAGAATTTCTTCAAGTTCAGATTTAAGTGAATGTTCTAAACCCATGAAATTTGCATATTCAACAGGAGATAAAAATACTGTATTATGATGTGATGATAAATCTGATATTGATGATGATGGTGATATATTAAGTAATTTTTGTTGTAAATTATTAACTTCAACTTGAGTTTTGTGAAGTTTATCTAAACATTCACTATAATTGTGTTCTAATTGTTGAATCTAATAAAAACAAAAATTAAATTAATAAAATAATTTTTTTTTTTTTTTGTTTTACTTTTATTTCATATTCTTGACGATTTTTTCCACTAATGGATAGAAGATTTTTTAATTCTTCATTTTCTTTTTTTAATTCACATAATCGACGACGAATTTCTCGCATCTATATATCAAATAATTAATCAAATTTTTTTTCGTTAAAAAAAAAAAAGCTATGTAATTTACCTCATAAGATAAATGAAGAACTTCATTTTGTTGTTTACAATTTTCATCATTTTTCTTAATTAATTCTTGTTGTAAATTATCAATATCAGCATTTGCATGAGCTAAAACAAAATTTAATAGTTTTTTTTTGTTTTGTTAATTCAAAATTTATTCTTTTACCTAAAGCATGAACAAAATTATCAACTATAGACTGTTCTTGATGTTCATAATTTTCACAATCAAGTTTTAATTGTATAGTCTAGATCAAAAAAAAGTTCATTTTTTTTTTTCAAATTTAATATTAATATAATATTCAACATACTTCAGTACGTAATTCTTGATTTTCATCTTCAAGATTACGAATTTTTTGTTCATAATGTTGAACATCAAAATTACTAGAAAAAAAACCTCAAATTCAAAAAAATTTTCTATTCTTTTTTATTTTATTTACTTTGCTGCTACTGATTGTAATTCATTTTCTTCAAGATCACTATAAAATCGAATCAAACGTTCTTTAAGAACTAGATCATGTTTAAGTTGTTTAACTATTTCAGTTGTTTGTTCAATATCTTGTTCAAGTAATGTTACTTGACTACGTAAAGATTTATTACTTTCAAGTAAATTATGACCTAAAGTCACGGCCATTTGTAAATCATTCTCGCGATCTTCTAACATGCGAGTAACAGCACTTATATCATGGTATGTTTTAGTCATTTGACTTATTCGATCACTTGATGATGCTAGAATTTAAATACAAACTATTTTAAGAAATGAACAATTTTAAATAGAAACAAAAAATAAAACTAAACGTGCATAGAGACACAAAATATAAAATTACCATAAATAAGCTTTGTATAAGCAAAAAAAACCAAATGACTAGAAGCGAAAAGAAAGAATAAAAAAAAGCAAAGCATTGATTGGGATCATGATCTTAAAATCTAGGCTAATTCGTTTTGAATCCGAATGTTGTCATGTATGAACAAAATTTTTCGAAGTCGAATTTGAAAAGTTTATGAAAAAATCTGAGTGTTATTATATTGCAATAGGTTACAAAAAAATAAACTATGCAATTCTGCACATCTCGGATATAAAAAAAAACGGCACGAAATTATCTTACAAGATCTATCAGTTTTAAATAATAACTGTGATAAACATAATTTTTTTTTCTTTTTATAAGCTCAATATAAATATAGATATTCTGGATTGAGGTAGGATTTCATGTTCATAAAAATGACATGATGATCATATTTACCGATTAGATTTCAGAGTCATACAGGTGGTATATCGTCTGTGTCTAACACTGCATAATCTAATCGTTAAATATAATCAATATGTCATCTTTTAGGATATGCAAACGTATATCGATGTACATTATTGATTTTTAGATTAAGTTTACAAAACTCAAAATATTATAGTACCCACAATTTTTAGTCATAACCCATGAATCATCTAAAATGATGTACTCATTGAAAATTGTTTTCTTTATGTAGAATTATATATGCTTTATCTTTCTAACCAATTGAAATTGAAACCTAAGGAGATGGTAGATTTACACTATAATCCAGTCATATCCTTTAGTAAAGATTACCACGAAAAACAAAACTATTGATATTCATTGATTGAATATATTGAGAGAAATGAATGTTGACAACGATTTTTACATTTAATCCCGACAAATTCTCAAAATATTTTTCTCTAGACTCGTGACACTCGAAAAATAATTAAATTCATTGGACTGGAATCAAGACCAAAATAACTTCCTTTCAACATGTGTTACAAAGAAGAAGAAAAAAAAAAGCCGTCAATGCACTCCCTAAGGGATAAAAATATGAAATACAATGTAGTTACAGTTACTAATCGCAGAGAGATTGCTTTATTATATCCATTTTGGGACATATTTTTTCACTATCCTTCTACTTAATTATCTACAAATGCAATAAGGAAATAATTCATATAATAGAACGCGACGTTATTGATACACGATCTGTGATAAATTATCAACAACGTCTGTAATAAGCACAACTTTTTTTATTCTCATACTTGAACAAGTCTTTTACATTATCGTTTACAAAAACATATTTTGAGTTTAGCCATGTGGAAAATTGGATCCCAACCGTGTTAATCTAACCTTTTCATATAGCTATATAATATCAAAAATTGTTTTCGAATGTATTGAATAAATGAAACATATATTTAAATTTTGTTCTATCGTATGTGTACCTAATTTCGTTCGAGATATATCTTATTCTCTTCTGAAATCATTTATCTGTTTCAAAACTAAAAGAACCTTGACTTTCATGACCTTAAAAGTAAGTCAAGAACAATGATATATTAATATCAACTGGATGACAAAGACTTACTATCCATAACTAATGTATAGTACGTTTCTTATACAAATAATGTACCCATGGTAAAACTAATTGATCAAAAAAAAAATACAAAATTCATCAGTAAAGATTTTTTGCTACTTCAAAACACTTATGAAAAACTTTCTATAATAAACATTCTTCACATAAAACTACCTTCGGTATGCTTTTAACATTATCATTCTCACTTCTTCTACTAGCTAATTTATTATATATAAGAAAAATTCCATATAAAGCCTCATTATACACAAAACGGAAAATGAAAATATTGTAAAAATAAACTTCCGACAAAACTACTATCAATGATTTACGCTTCACATTATCTCTTTTTCTTCCTTCTCATTTTTTCTAACTATGACTCTTATCACGTCTACCTTCTGTTGTTCTAAGAATAATATATTTCGCACTACCAAATAGTATCATTTTTTTTTTCCTTAAGTCAACAAAATTAGATCATGAGCCGACAAAAAAAAAACACAACTGATTGGTATTTCAAACATTATAATGATGAACTAATAGACAAAAAAAAACCAAAACAACAAGCAACAGCGAATAATATACCATCATTTTCTTATCAAGTTACACTTGGATCAATTTCAACAGTCTAATTAGGTTTTTTACTCATATTCAAATTTCTTCCCGTGATTTGTCTTAACTCTTGTATGATACACACAAAAAAAAAATAAATATTTATCATTCTTTCGTCATCGTCAAGAGGACAATAAATTAACGATTAGTAAATAAGAGCAATATGCATATAGGTATCAAAAAAATAAATGACGCAATAAACAAAATACTGAATCATTCGCGGTTGCATGTGTAAACCAACTCAAGCATTAGCAACAAAAAAAAACAAACTTTACCGTAATAATCAAGAAGACCACGAATTTGTGTATTAGTTAAACCTTCAAATTCAGAACCGTCAATACGTGGTGTTTGAATAAAATCTTCGTTTGAACAAGCAAAATCAGTATCAACACGTAAACGATAACGTGGGATTAATTCTTGTACTAGACTGATTACTTCAACTTCGGCCAAATTTGATTGTGTATGAATGTCTAAATAAACGCAAAAAAAAACAAAATTCATCAGAGACAAAAAAAATGTTCACTTATATATATGCCAGGAAAAAAAAAACTCTAAATATATAGATATATATACATTCAGGAAATCAAGTGTTTCATTGACGTCATCTCAAACTACATAGTAAAAGTTTCGATAAAAATTCTTGAAACTATAATTATCAATATAAAAAAGAAAAAAGACTCCAAACAAGCAATTGAGATTACATCGTAGAACATTTTAGATGAACATTATACAAGAGGTATAATATCCTTGTATCCTGTTATATGCAATGGATATTGACAAGTCATATATCATACTATTACGTAAAACGTTGTAAAAAAGAAAGAAAGTGTACTTTAGTTTATTTCTGTGAAAGATTAACTGTATAATATTACTTCATCAATTTTTGAACAATTTTTTCATTGTAATAATGTTTATTACAAATAAATAAACTCACCCGTCAAGACTTCACAATCGATTGTTGACGGGCCTTGGGTAGGCGTCGTCGCATGGGACATAAAATCAAGTTGTAAATTGAAAAAAAAAAGAATTGCTGGCAAATGCACACACACACACACCACCGGAATAAAAGACAGGTGAACAATTATACGTAGGTGGTTAAGTGGATGCGACAAATGAAGAACACTAAAGAAGTACGTCGACGACGGCGCATCTAAAATGGAGAAAGAGAGAGAGAAAGAACACTTGAACTAATTCGATATACAAACAAGAAAATGTAATTGGTATTTTTTTTTTTTTTTTGTCAATGTTTCTTGTACATTAGACAAATCGAATGAGTAATATAGAATTAATCAAACATATGTAATATACAATGATAATTACATTACTATACGATTGTCTCCATATGTGTTAATACATAACCTACATTCTATTTATGTATGTTATAATTTTATATAGAAATAAACGAATGTATAAACCTATCGGACACGCATCATACAATAATGAATGAATAGCATTTAAATTGAACGATGTCCAGCGTCAAGATTCAGGTCATCGAACATAAAGCAAAAGAAATAAAAAAAAATCTTATTGACCTTCACTATTTATTTTATATACAAATAAGGGTATTCTCGATTCTTCATGTTAGACAATATCAGCGGGTGGTTGAGGCTGTTGAATAGACACATAGAAAGCAATCATATAAACATATGTTAATATACGGGTAAATGATCATCAATGCTAACGTTTTGTCTGTCTCATTCATGTGGCGAATCGACTCGACTTTATAATGATATGAATATGACCTTGAAGTATTGGTTAATTATATGAGTCAATAAATCAGTTTTAAAAAAAAAACAAGGAACCTATCAGATTTCATATTTAAAGATGATAGAAATTCATAAAAACAAGTAAAAAAAAGAGAAACCTGAAAAAATAAATCAAATTAATCACGATATAATTGTAAGAAGAAATGAAGCGTGAAGAAAGGGTGAATAGAGAAAATAAATAAGTATAAATAAACAATACGAAGAATGATATTTTGTTCGTTCGTTGCTTGTAAAAAAGGGAACAGTGAGAAATCCAATCAAAATCAAGCGCTAATGCATATGTTAAGTCTATGAAATAGAAATTAGCGACAGTTCAATGAGGAAAGAATTTTCTTCGTCATTTACATATATATGAAAAAACTAATTATGACAACAGTATCAACATCAAACAGTAAAGTTTTACAATTAATACAACAATATGCACATCGATTACGTTCGAATACATCAGTAGATTATGATCCGATATTAGCTGCAATTGGTAATGCTCAAATTGTAATGATCGGGGAAGCTTCACATGGTATCGATTTTCTTTTCTTGAAAAAAAAAACATCATAAGAAGAAAAAGAAGCTATTAATTGATATTTAGGTTCACATGAATTTTATTTCCATCGAGCGGAACTAACAAAACGATTAATTCAAGAAAAAGTATTTTATTCAAAAAAATTCGTTTTTTTTTTTGTTTAAAATTATTCATTAGGGTTTTACTATTGTTGCTTGTGAAGCTGATTGGCCACCAGCTTATCGAGTTAATCGTTGGATAAAAGGACTTTCTTCTGCAACAAATATTCGAGATGCAAATGATGCATTAAAAGAATTTACACGATTTCCATCATGGATGTGGTTTGTAACACTTCATTTTTTTTTTAATATTTTAAAGAAATTTTTATCATTTATATTTAGGCGAAATACTGTTGTATTAGATTTTATAACATGGCTTCGAAAATATAATGAAGATTTAGGACAACAAAAGAAAAAAATTGGATTTTTTGGTATTGATTTATATAGTTTACAAGCATCACGTGAAGAAGTTCTTAAATATTTAGAAAAAAATGAATCAAGTTTGTTAATATTCAAAATTGATAAATTTTATATTTTGGTTTTCTTTTTTTTTTGAAAATAGGTCTTGTTGCTGAAGCTCGTAAAAATTATGGATGTTTTGAAAGATATTCCGATGAACAAGAATATGGTTATTGTGCTGCAACAAAACTTTCATCTGGTTGTGAAAAAGAAGCTATTGAAGTATTAAAAAAAATGTTAGAACATCATGCAAAAAATATATCGAAAGGAAAAACTAATGATAGTAATAGTGATGAAAGTTTTTATGCAATGGAAAATGCTAAAATTGTTCGTGAAGCTGAAAAATATTATCGACATATGTTTGAAGGTGGTGAAATAACATGGAATATTCGTGATACACATATGTGTGATTGTTTACAAGATTTACTTACACATAATGGACCTGATACTAAAGCTATTATTTGGGTAATGTCATTTCTAAAGGATGTCTTACGAAAAAAAAGTTTTGAATCTAGGAAACATTTAACAAATCAGAGATGGACAAAATCGCACCGCGCCTAGGCGCTACGCACATCTCTCTTTCTCTTTGCTCTACCAATCAGTTTCTCAAACTCCACCGAATACCCGGATGCTCTAAGCATGCGCTCATCGAAGCTCAGACTAGTGTAGCGTAGGTGTGAGCAACGGCGCGGGGAGGCGCGGCGCGACTTTGTCCATCTCTGTAACAAATCTTAATAAGTTTCCTGTTAAAATTAAGAAGAAAATGTTGGATTATTTTATACTATGTGCATAAAAAAAACAGTTAGTGTTTCTATTTTCCCAATCAGATTTCGCACTATATAAAGTTAAGAGAAAAAAAACTCGCAAAACTGTTCGATTTGATTTACTAAAAAAAAACATAAAATTATAGTTGCTGGCGATGCAGGACTCCGTATTTAACTAGGAGAAAACAATTTACTTCCTTGCTCATCGGAGTTCAAGAGTATAATGGAAATATAGTTTTATGACTAAGAAAAACCTAAATGCTAGAGAGTAACGATATAGTTTCATACTTCGCATACTCACACGGTTCTCTTGCTATACTTCACGTGTTTGTACCCTGTAGTTTTGTACTCTCTGTACGTCCTAGAATGCGATAGTATATCGCTGACACCTTGACATTTAATCCTACAAATTCAGCGTCTGTTTAAGGACGTTTTTTTTTGTAAAGTTTGCTTCACTACAAAAATGTTCTTATGTAACGACGATGAATTTTGATGCACTGCATATTTGATAAAATATGAAACAAATTTTTCAGTTTATCTAACTCTTTTGTGTGTCTACTGCGTATGATCTCTCAGTATTTTATTAACATTTTCGTTGATGTTCATAAATAGTAAATCGAATTTGTTTGCCAGAAAATTTTTTGTTCAATTTTCAAAGATGTTTGAAAACTTTTCTCTGCTGCCTACTTAAATTAAAGTATAATAGAGATCTAAAAATAGTCATTGATATGATTTGTAATAGATGAGTACATTTCAGATCATTGGATTTTCATAGTGCAGATAATCAACTAACAATATTATGTAAAACATTTGATTGTTCGTTTAGTTTACAAGAATGTTGCAAAAGATTGGTATGAAATTTAAGCATCGCGAAATAAGTAAGATTTCTATCAGTTTCATGTCATTTTATAAAAAACTTCGACATGCATGACTTGTTAGAGAGAGAGAAAATAAAAATTGACAGTTGAAAAAAGAAAATACTTTTCTAAAACATATTATTTCAATGTTATCGAATCTTCAACATCCAATATTTGACTGTTATTTATATATCTCTTATGATTCATGTCGAATACTGAGAAACCGTAAAAAATACGAATGAATATTTTATTTTAGGCTCATAATTCACATATTGGTGATGCTCGTGAAACTGATTCACGACGTGCACGACAAGTTAATATTGGTCAATTAATTCGTGAACGATTTGGTATAGGAAATACGTTTAATATTGGATTTACAACATATACTGGTACAGTTACAGCAGCTGATAATTGGGATATGGATCCAGATTTTAAAAGTATTAGACCATCATTAAGTGAAAGTGTAGAATTTTTATTACATGAAGCTTTAACAAAAAATTCAACAATGACAAATGATGGTCAATATTTTCTTTTATTTCGTTCTAATAATTCATCTATTAATCTTTCAAAAGAATTACATAATGAATTACATAAGAAACGTTTGGAACGAGCTATTGGTGTTATTTATCGTCCACGTACTGAACGACAATCACATTATTTTGATGCAAATCTTTCAACACAATTTGATTGTGTAATTCATATTGAAGTTACACGTGCATTAAGACCATTAGAAATACATCCAGCATGGGAAGAAGCCGAAAAAGAACATGTACCAGATACTTTTCCAATGAATGTATAATAGTAATTTTTTTGTTTTTGTTTTACTGACTAGTCAACACTTCGTCCATAAATAAATTTAATCTCGCAATTGACTCAGTGTGTGTGTGCTAAATTTTATTAATATGAAAATTTTTATTTATACAAGCTACTATTTTTTTTTTTAAATAAACAAGCAAGCTAATTTAAAATGAAGATCATTTTATTGATGAACATACACAAACAAAAGAATGAGAAAAATTAATAAAACTGATCTTTGATTAGTGACGTAACTAGGATTTCGGCGGGGGTAGGACTTAGCGTCGCTTATATGTCTGGTGATTGGACTCACGAGGGAACATTCCCAAGTGTCCCATTGTTTTTGAGTTCGGACTCTATGCATAAGGTAGATCCCAGTGATGTATGAAAAACCCCAGAAGAACAAGTGCCCTTAGGCCTTCTGTCTAGAGTTATAGGCATTTTACCGAAATTTTAGCCTTTGGCATGGTATATACCGATAAATCGAATGACTGCATTTCGACCTGAGATTTTGTCCACAGATAGATCTATTTGTGAGTAGAATATCCTGAAAATTTCAGCTCAAAAGAATGTTTTATTCCTGAGATATTAAAGTCCCAAAAAACAGTAAATTCTAGCATCTTTCGTGGGATATTATTGATTTTTGGGACTTTAGTATTTCAGGAATAAAACATTCTTTTGAGCTGAAATTTTCAGGATATTCTACTCACAAATAGATCTATTTGTGGGCAAAATCTTAGGTCGAAATACCATCATTTGATTTGTCGGTATTTACCATGCCAAAGGCTAAAATTTCGGTAAAATGCCTATAACTCTAGACAGAAGGCTTAAGGGCACTTATTCTTCTGGGGTTTTTCATACATCACTGGGATCTACCTTATGCATAGAGTCCGAACTCAAAAACGATGGGTCACTTGGGAATGTTCCCTCGTCAGGAGAATGAGGTCTGTAGGGTGGTAGGGCTGATAAGAGAATTTAGCTGACGAAGTTGATGTCAGTGGTTGGGCGGAGCTCTACCCTGGTTATACGCCACTACTTTGGTTACATTGTCATATATTTCAATTGATCTTGAAGAATAAATATTTATCGGCATTCTTTGTTTTCCGTACTTTGTAGTAACGATATTTGTAAAGAATCGAAAATCAAAATTTTTATTTGAATGAAACTTATGATTTAATGTTTCTCGAGAAAACAAGATCATAGCTGAGCGCGTCATCTTTCGAATTTTTCATTTACTATCGATTGGTTATATATGTTTAACAAATCAATAGTTTCTTTTACTTCTTCAAAAGAATTCATTCTTTAATTTCTAAAAATGGTATTTCTTACATCTTTACTTCGTAAATTACCAACACCTGAATGGTTATTAAAAAACACTATACCAGGTAAACGAACAGATAATAAATGGTGGCGTTTAGAAACATTTCGATTTACATTTGCATCGGATGGTCGTCGTCGACAATGTTTTAAAGTAGCTTATCCTTATATGAGAAATCGTTGGCGTCTTTCATCACGTAGTCGTCAATTTAAACCAATATTTGAAGCTGAATTACAAGATACAAGAATTGATGCAGCTGCACGTGAACATGGTTTACGTCAATATACATTAATAGCTAGTCTTAAACGACAAAATATACAATTATCATCAGCTATTCTTGCTGATCTTGCTATATATGAACCACGAACATTTGAATGTTTAAGTCTTATTGCTAAACAACATATATTAAATACAAATCTTGAAGTACCAGATCCTGAACATGAAGATGATGAACAAGATATAGAACGTGATTCTGAAGAAGAACAAGTACCTATTCATGTTGGTGAAAATATATTAAATCCATCTTTATTTAAAGATGTTTATAATCGATTTTGATTTGTTTTTTTTTTTTTTCTATCAAGAAAAAATAAATTTTTATAGGTTATTAGCAAATATTCTACATTCAATTAAGATCATTATAATAATATTATGAATTAACTAGATTAGACAAAATCGATATTTTTTTTTTTTGATGTCATTTAAGAATAAATACATCTTGTGATTGAATAATAATAATCATAATGATAAAAGTATTGTCTTAATCGTAAGTCTTGATATAAGAGAGAGTTCGAATAGGGAGATTAATCTCCCTTTCTGTTTTTAGGTTGTGTCTCTGAAAATTTTGAGATTCTATCGAGAGTTTTGATTTCAATTAACTTCAAAAAATAAAAAAACAAAGAGATTCAGCATACTATTGATTTATTAATGTTAATAAACTAAGTTGCTTATTAATAATTATTCATGATGTCAAATCTTTTGATGTAAACAAGAAAATGAATGTGTATATTGTAGATCTAATCAATAAGAATATGCATGCACATATTGATTTATAAATATTTTATGCATCAATAATTTTTTTTATTGAAAAATGTCACTTTTTCTTACAAGGAAATTATTCAAAATGATTCCGAACTCTTGATTTCATCTGTTAGTTACAAGTAGATTTCATTGAGAATAAGAAAATTCTAAAAAAAAAACATTTGTTTTTCATGCTCGAGATATGGTTAACGTTTCGACAAAAAAACAAAAAGGTGTTTTTATTTTCACATTAATATTTATATATTATTCTTGATGATTTTAACTCAAGTATGAATTCGAAATAGTCTTCGTGAATTAATTTTGTTTATTTATTTCTAATGAGTCTGTCAGGTTGATTTCGAACTTAGACCTGACGAGCTCTAGTCATCTATATAATAAACAGATGTGTCAAATTTCTGATTTGAGTAGTTGTCACATGATTTTACGTTTTGATTATTTCTATATGAATTACTAATATTATTACATTGCATTTTTTCTTTATGTTTTTCTTAAGAAAACTTATGTTCGAATTTCAATTTGAAATTTTGTATTGACATAAAGCTTTAAAATAATATTTTAAGACATTGTGTGCTACATATTGGTCATCTTTTATTAACAATATTCAAAAGAAAAACCTTACACAAGCTAAATCGAACAAGGATGATCATAAACGATCATTGACAGAGATATACAACTGTCGGTATATGTTCAGTCTTGTTAGACTATTGCAAAAGCAAATGTTTATAATTAAACAAGTTGAGGAGAAGATAACTTTTCCTTCATTTTATAGCATCAATGGAATGCAGACGTATTGCGACAAAATATAATCATTTATCATCTGGATTTTTCTCTATATACAACCATGAAGATAGCAATCGTAGTAATGAATCGTGTAATACGACGGAAAACAATTATTTATGAACTTCGAATTCTTCGATCTTGATAGATAGTGTATTTTTCATCAATAATTATTAACATAGCTATTCGAATTATAAAAGTTTTTTCAATATGATTTATTTTCTTTAAAAATTCAGGATTAACTATATTAAAAAATATTTTTCTAAATTGTTTTTGCTGAATGACATTTATTTTAATCTTATGAAACGATGAATGAGTTCATGATCTTTTGATTTTTTATTCTATATATATATATGTGATAAATAATGAATGGCAGGTATGATAACCAATCTAAACGTGTATTCATATGATTGGTTACTCTATATACAAAAACACCCACACATCCATACGTATCTGGTTATTTTCATTTTGAATTTTGGACTGCGCATTTGTTGTTTAGATTAGAAATGAATAGTGAATCAAAAGAAACAATAACAGAAAAAATACTTGTATTATTACAACGTCTTATAAATGATATATGGACAAGTCCAATTAATCTTATTTTGGTATTTTTAATTATATTTTTACTTTTTAAATTATTTTTATTAAAACGTAAACCAACACATAGTCCAAGTCCATCAAATGTTAAACCACCATTACCTAAAATGGCTAAACAAGATTTAACAATTGAAGAATTACGTAAATATAATGGTATAGATTCAAATGGTAGAATTCTTACAGCTATATATGGAGATATTTTTGATGTTAGTCGACGAATTGATTTATATGGACCAGGTAAAAATTTTTTTTTTGCAAAGAAATTCATCAGAGAGAGAAAAAAAAATAATTAATATTTTTTGGTTATATTTGATATAGGAGGATCATATTCATTATTTGCTGGTCGAGATGCAACACGAGCATTATCAAAAATGCAATTAACACAATCATTATTTGCAAATGAATATGATGATCTTGCTGATCTTACTGATGGTGAACGATCTACTGCTAGAAATTGGCATGAAGATTTTCGTGGTAACTATTCTTAGTTTTATTGATCAATTATTTTCTCTATGAGAGATTCTTTTTTTTTTCTTAAATCTATTTGATAGAAAAATATGATATTATTGGTCGTCTTCTCAAGCCAGGTGAACAGCCAAGTGTTTATCCAACTGAAGAGCCTACAGTTGATGATAGTACGACCAATGAGATGAAAAAAACTGAATAAAAACAAATTTTATTTACAATTTCTTTGTTCATTATATATTTAATTAACAGAAGTTCTTTCAAGATAAAAAAAAACAAACAATATATATTACTTTTTCTTTTGATTTATACTTATTTTCATCATTCCTTTCTGACTGATGATAGCTAAGTTTTTTGATATGTTCTTTTAATTTCACTAATCATGCATGAGTAAACTATGTGAAAGATTAACACATAATAAATAAAAAAAATCATTCTCTTATTATTGCATAATTTAAGACTTTTCTTCGTGCTTTTGTTTTTCATTATAACCCAAGAAAATATGCTGACATCTGCTTATAATCTATTAATCTGAATATAAGCAAGAACTTGTTCTATTTTTAATTTCATCTTTAGATATAGAGTTTTACTTCAAATATTAATTGTTATCTTTATTTTCTCTAAAATTATATGATTTTTAATTTTTTTTTTCTACCAGTGATGCATGTTAGAAACTTTTAGTTTTTAGTTTATAGTAAATACATATATATTAATCAAAGTAAAAGTTATGATTTTATCAGGTTCTATCTTGCTGGGACACAGTATCTTATTCAGATATTCTTTTTTCGGTAGGATGAACACCTATTTTTTTTGACACACAGATGCATAGTATATAATACAATCATCACAATATTTGCTTGTCAAATGGAGGATCGTAAGTTGACTCCTTGAAAACTCTATATTAACATTTTATAAAAGCCTTGATTAGAAATAATAGCGATTCGCAATTCAAGAAGAGAATGAAAGCAAAGAATGTTTGATGGGTTATTAATGGTTGTTGTTGGCTTCAGAATTTCACTTTGAACTAAGTGTTGTCCTTGATTTTTTTCTTAAGTGATTTATTATTTCGTTTGTGGCAGCTGTTTCCCAGGGTCAATATCAATAACTTAAAAGTGTGATTTCGTTTTTTTTTTGATTAATCTATCCAAAAAAAAACAAATGTTCATAGGTTGAAAAGGTATGTTTAGAATCAATTTGATTTCTATTTGTTTTTGAAATTAGAAAGATATTAGTCGATATCGTGTTTTAGATGATAATATCCTTAGAAAAAAACTTTTATGAACAGATACATATTAAATCATAATTCTAAACCTTTTCTACTGCATGAAATTAGTTATGATTGTTTCGTTTGTTGACGAGGAGAGATTCTCAAATGATAAATCGTTTTCGAGTTGTGACTATATGCAATCGATAGATAAATAGTGATTAGATTAATATCCTAAAATGGTTTAAACTATTGGGTCTTTGTCCGAAGTGATCATTCGGTTTTTCGTAGAAACATACATGACTGTATGTAGTTCACAGAAAACATTGACACTGTGAAAAACATATTTTCAACACAAGCGGCTAATTGAGAGAAAGTATATAATACAATACAAAAGATAAAATTATTTCTTTATTTTTTCATTTTGTGAAAAATAGTAATCCCAAAGAGACACTTCCATATTTAGTCCTTTTCTTCTTACGATTCGTTTAAGTGACTAAAAGACGGAATTCGATGAAAAACATTCTTATCAACAAGAGGTCGAGAGTAACGACAAGAAATCTAGAAAGATCTTGATATTCGAAATCAGCACAATGAACTGCATACAGTTGTGTATGTTTCTACGAAAAAACGATTGATCAATTGGGGGGACTTTCCTCTTAAGATGAAGAAGTTATTTTTATCAATTAGTTAATTTTCATAAAAATTCAGAGAGCTTATTAAAAATTTATAATTCTCTATTTCTTCAATGTTAAAAAAAAATTCGATTCTGCTTGTTTTTCTGTTCTATTATCATTCACAAAGAGCCATCCTCTTTACTGCAATACTAACGAATAGCCCACAAAGAAGTGGACCCGAAATATTTTCGAAAGTTCTCCTCTTCGTTGAACTCGATTGGATTGATTTTATTATAACAAGATTACCAAAATGTACGAAAAAATAATTGTATTTTTTAAATACTTTCTCAAATAGAGCTATATTTTCGAATAATTTCACTAGCATCGAAACATGATTCCAGTATATATTATCTAGTTTCAAAGGTACTTTATCTCATCGTGTAGAGCAAAAGTCATTTGAATTTAAATTTTCAAAGCAATTGTTAGCCTTACAGCAAAAAAATAATAACAAATTTTATCTGTTTTTTCGCGATTGATCAAAAATAATATTTTATTTCGAAAGAAAATACTTTTAACAATATATTTGTTTAAAAAAAAAAGAGAAATAAGTTGTATCGATTGAATCAATATCACATCATATTTATAAAGATTAAATGAGTATTTTAACTGGAATACTCTGATAGTATGTAAAAGCAAATACTGTATGCCTTTTCGAATAACTTTACAAGGCAAATAATTTTATGAAAAGAAAATTTCTGATCGAAATTCTAACGTATGATTTCGCTTGTAAATTAGAGTCATACATGAAAATTTCACTAGAAATTCGATATCTCAGCAATAGGGGATCAGTAACTTCAACCACTTTACGGTATTTATTTAGTCAATAGATCTTATCGATTGAATATAGTTCAAATTTAAACATGATTTATCATTTAAGTACTTTCCCTCGTGAATTACGTTATCGACAATTTTCCAATAAACAATTTCACAAGTAATTGTTCATGAGAAACGGTTCTAAACTCATTTATATGTATGTAAAACTACATAATACGGTCAAAATAATTTGATAAAAATTTATTTTGAAGAATGATTTACGTTTGATTTCGAGATTTAAAAGAGATATCATTAAAATACAAAGATCCATTCTTTCTGGGATACTTGTTAATATTTAAAAGATTATTCTGTTTTTTTTATTCTTTACTACGATAGATTTTTCATCATCATTATTAATTTTTTTTTCCATAAGTAATGAATGTCTATTTTCTTGAATCTTCTCGTCATTCATGGTAATAATGGACTGAAACATCTTACTGCTTGAATAGATATAATTATTACTTTTATTATTCTCTACCATCCATTATTATGAAACATTTCTTTAGTTTTTTATGCATTGTAAAAGGTCGCATTACATAATACTATACACTTAGAGTAATAATTCAATGCATTATACGTACTTCATTGAAATTTCTATGATTTTTTTTTCTTTCTGTTTTTGTGTCATTTCTTTTTATCAGTACTCAAGTTTCTATTTCTTGATTGTATTTTTATATTCAAGTGTTTCTTGTATTAAATATAACTTCTACTATATTGTCATATAATTATATGAAATTAATGTTGTGTAAATTTAATAAACGACGTAAAAATAAAAAGTGGTGCTGGATTTTATATTTATTTTTCTTTAGTTATTAAATCATTTCACATGAACATCGTTTAAGAAATATATATATATAAAAAAATATATGAAATCAATTATAGATTTAATTATCATCTGCTTCTTATTTTCTTTTCAATAGTAACTCAAATTCAAAGACATCCATCAATTAATTTTATATGGAAAAAAGAAAGATACATGTTTCGGAATCCAACATTATTAAATCATCATTCTATAAGAATTGCAAACGAATGACATTATTTGTTCTATTTCTTCTATATTCTCCGTTGAAGTTATATCACGGAATGGCTCACGCCATACTCGTCCCATGTTTTTTTTTTCTTGTATCTGAAAGAGAAACATAAAAGACAAGAATAAAAAGAATAAACGAAGAATAGGAAAAAAAATAGGAGAACATGATGAACCTAAGCTTACATTAATTACCATAATAACAGATGGTCTTCTCGATATAGTGCTCTATATCAACATTATATTTTTATCGAGTATTTCAATTCTCTTATCTTTTACTAAAGACGTATTAAATGAAGTCAGTACTAACAACTCCAAATTTTCTGAGAAATTCTTTAGTATCAGGCAAGTATTTTAAAATTTTGCAAAATAAAAGAAAGATATTTATTAATTATTATCTATATTGTAGACATTAATAAAGAAAAAGAAAAACAAGAATCACTTCGAAGTGTTCATTCAGAATCTAGTATAATAAAATCAATATCAGGAGAATCATCAGTAATTTTTGATAATAATGATGATTATGAAAAACAAGCCGATAAAACAATTGATGAAATATGGAAAATATTTAAAGATGATAATTCTTGGTTGGAAGAAGCAAAAAGTCATAATGGACTTGATATTGTTGTTTCAAAAATTTTTCCAAAATGGGGTAAAATATTTCGATTAACTGTAAGGAAAATAGAACTAGAAAATATTAAAAACTTTACTTTTTTAAATATAATTAGAGTACTATCACAGGATCTCATTCTAATATTGTTGAAATGTTATTTGAACATCAAGAAGATATTCCAAAATGGAGTCCAACTGTTAATGATTGTAGAGTATGTATAGAATTTTTTTCATATTTTATTTTAATCAATTAATGAAATCCTTATGAATAAAATCTTTTTAAATACAATTATTATTTATTTATATGAATATCTCATATAACTGAGACTTTCAAGAATATTTCCTAATGAAGTTTTGAATTCATTTTTAAAAAATTTGATGTAATAAAAAAAAATTTTTATGTTGTTAATCTTAACTATTATTGACGATATATCATCAAAATCAAAGATGATTAGTGTTTATGATTAATAACAAACTCATTTTCATGCAAAAAAATTATAGAAATTTTTATTTTATAGATATTAGAAGTTATTAACAATGATTTGTACATAACGTATGTGAATATTAAAGGTTTGAAATTGATTCTATATCTTAGATATTTTTTTGCTTGATTAGTTATCAAAAAACTAATGAACAAGCCCAAGGCTTTATTTCGAAACGTGATTTTGTTAATTTAACAATACGTCGATTTATTGATGATATTGCAATATTAGCAGCACAAGCATGTCATTATTCAAAAATGCCTCCAAATAACAAGTAAGAAAAAGCAAAAAAAAAAACGATTTTTTTTTCAATTTTAATTCTACATTCGTTCGTTTTCTTTTTTGAAATCTAGTTGTGTTCGGTAAGTTTTTATTGTTTTTTTGTTGAAATTATATTAACATTTGAATATAATTTAATTAATTAAAAGAGCAAAAAATGGACCAACAGCATATATTGTTGAAAAACTCGATGAAACAACTTGTAAATTTACTTGGTTACTTAATGTTGACTTGAAAGTAAATCATTTCATATATTTATTTTCTAAATAATACTCTTTTTTCATTGTCTCAATAGGGATGGCTTCCACAATATCTTATAAATAGTTCATTAGCTAATGTTCAACTTGGTCTTGTTGAATCACTACGAAATTATATATCTAACATTGTTGATATAGAATTATCCTATTCGTCATCGACGAGTGTTAATATAACCTAATCCTTTTTGTTTTGTTGGTTTGCATTTTTTATTAATTAAGTGTTCATTTTCTATATGAATTTATCTATTGTTTTGTTTTTCTTTCATGTATTCCATGTCATTGAACAAACAAAAAAAAAAAGAGTAATTTGTAATTATGTTACAAAAGCAATGTTTTTGTTTATTGGAAAAGAAACAATGATTCAATATATTTCAAATGTTTGCAAATTTAGTATTGTCATTAGGAAATCGATAATGTTTATGTCTCGTGTTAGTAGTATCAGCTTTCGACATTTTTTTCGGGATTTATTGGAACTATTCCGAATAGATTCGGTATTATATGACAGGATCTATAATAATAAGAATCTTTTCATGACATATAAATCCAAAAAAAGAATATCCTTAATAAGAAATAATCGAACAAGGATTTGAAGCTTAGATGGATGAACAACAAAGTCATATCGCTCTAACCATCGAGACATTCATTGTTGTTTGGATTAATTCATGTTAGGAAGTTTCATGCATCACGAATAAGTCTGCTGAGGAATTATTTGCTATTAAGAAGTTTGTATGATAATATTTGTGATACAATAAGGTTTTAAGAATAAATTCACTGGAAATAAAATTAAAATATCCCAAAAAAAGAAGTCCTGATAGTACCTTCTATTCAAAAAGAAAATTGCATATGATAACACGGAATTTTTAGCAAACAAGCGAATTTTGCCGGAAATGCTCAGAAGACATTCGAAATCGATGAAGTGTGAAAACATTATGTTGGGCCTGAATATTTTCGGATATTTCTCGTGACTTATAGTCGTTTCTCGTCGAAAATAACACAACATTGACTGAAAATTCAGAGACTTTCCGGTTAGAATATTGTTTCTACCTTCCATCGATTTCTAATTTTTTCAGTTTGGAACCAGCTATTATACATTCATCTTGACGTAAACATTGTCCTTTTGAAAAATTTTATCGATTATCAACTGTTCGTAAAAACTAATCACAGCATTGGAGCTTTGTTTCTTTTCTGTTCGGAACGAATAGGTTTAGTTGGCTTATATTAACCTAACATAATAAGACTTATGCTCTTTAAGAATTACTTCGGTATATTGTGTGAAAATACTACAAAAAAAAAACGTAATAATTAATCATACTGTCACTCTTTTCATAGCATACACTTCATTTTACATTTATTTTTGCACAGACGACTGATATCTTTTACAACAATTTTATCTTTTATTTGCAAGTACTTACATAAGAAAAAGACATGATATTCATGTTTGCTATTAATATCGTGCTGATATACATTGAATGAAGTCTATAAACAAAACAAAGAATTTGATTCAATTAAAACCTAGAAAAGATTCTTGAGAAAAAAAAGCAATTAAACCATATATAATTTGTATAATAATTGATAAAATAGGAATAGCAAACCGTAAATGACAAATTTTATAGATTGTATTTGAATTGTTACACAATTTATCACAATTATCAACTATTTCGATCAATCAAATTTTGTTGGACATGGTTGGCTAAAGAAATACAGCAAATGCATGAAGTGATACTAAGTAAGCAAGTCTGGATATATCACACATTAATTGGTTGAGATTCTTCGAATTAACTAGTCAAATATTGTTTAAAATAAATGGTAGTTATGGCAGGAAGGAAGTTTTCTAATCTGCAACAGCATTTAACTATTTATACATAAAGATGCTTTAACTATCCTGTATTAAAACATATCATAGTATCTTTGGTATGTCATAATGAGTGAAAGCAAATGTAAAGGAAGCTCTAAGAGCTTGATATTACTTCGATAATATTTGTCTTTGGCTTTTTCGTCTGTTTTAACATGAGTGTCTTCATTTGAATTGACGATTTCAATTGAGAGAAAAATTTATCTTTGGCTTTTACTATGAAAGTGCCGATGATATATTCAAAATTCAGGGTATATTCAAACTCGACTTAAACAGTTACCTTTTTTAATATAATTAAATACTATTTCGTTGCATTATCAAAATTATACTTTATGAAAATAATGGAAATTTTTGCCTAGAAATTCAAACTTTTGTCACAATAATTTCAAGGAAAGAAGTTTTTATAATGAATAGCAAAATTATGTGAGACAAGTTTAACAAAGGTTTTAATGGTGTCAATGGCGTTGATGACAACTAAAATCGTCTCATATATCAAGTGAGTGATTTGCTTACGATAACAGAAGAAACTACCGTCTCATAGAATAAATGTAAAGCTGATCAAATATTATGATCTAAAGATTCTGTTTTCAGTGGCAATCTAGTATATTTGGCTTATTTATATATATATATGTATGCAAAGGACAAAAAAATGAAAAAAACTCAATCACTCCAATGTCTTCTTTGTTGTTGTTTATCATATTGTATGCAATAGTAACACCGCATGTACAAGGATGGGGAATCCTTGGTCATAGTCTTGTTGCTCATCTTGCTCAAAGTCAATTAAATGAAAAATCATTCGAATGGATGCGAACTCATTTGACGAGCGATATGAGTGAAATAGCCTTTTGGGCCGATAGTATTCATAGTTCGAATAACAATGTGTTAGGTTCCCGTCGATGGAGTTGGTCTCGACCATTGCATTATATCAATACACCTCCGTGGAGTTGTAATTATGTACATGAAAGAGATTGCATCAATGATAGATGTGCTTATGGTGCAGTGAAAAATTATTCTACACGACTAACAACTTATAAGAATAATGTACAACATCAACAAGATTTTTTCTTTCTCGTTCATTTTGTTGGTGATATTCATCAACCGTTACATGTAGCCTTTGGAGATGATGTAGGTGGAAATGATGTTACAGGTGACTATTATTGATGACGAAGAAGAAGAAATAAAAGTTTCGTTTTTGTTCTTTGAATTTAGGTCGTTTTATGAATACATCAACTAATCTACATTCTTTATGGGATACTGGTATATTGACATATCGTCTACGTAATACATTTCAATCGAATATTAGTTCCTATTATGATTATCTTTATTTGAAAATGTTAAATCAAACTTTAGAAACGAATTATGATAATTTTCCACTATGGATTAATGAAAGTTTGAATATTGTTTGTAAACAAATCTATTTCGATGAAATGAATATGACAATGAATTCAACGAGTAAGTTCAATTTGAGCAATGTGTATTATGAACGAAGTTGGCCTGTTATCGAAAAACGTCTTATTCAAGCCGGTTCTCGTTTGGGTGCTCTGCTTAATCAAATATTAACAAAGCATACAGAATCAACAACAACACCAACAACAAACGAGACTTGTCAGAGTTCACCTTTCTCTATATTGATCTTAATATCACTCGTATCGGTGTTGTTGTATTTATTCAATTGAAAAATATGATATGATGACTTTGTAATTGTGCTTTGAAATAAAGTTGGGTGCTTCGATTTCATGTGTTTAGTTGACATTAAAAATAAAAATTTATTAAGTAGATCAAATTACACAGTTCAAATATAGAATCAAGCTCTATTTCTTTTTATGTAGAAGAGAGCAGACTATTCGGCTTCTTCACTCAAATATACGGAATATATTGAAAGAAATGAATATCCTAAAAATTGAGAACTTGAATACTTTTAATAGTAGTATGTTTAATTGGAATATCAATAAATCATCAGTAGTGACTGGAATTACTATTAAGGGATTAAATACGCGTATCATTCGATAAATAAACCGAAAAAATAAACTACTCATTTAATTAATTAAGGACAAATTTCATACGAACAATAGAATTCAAATCTTCAATACATCTAAAACACGATATTATATTAAAGGAATAGTTTATTAATTATATTTAGGCCTACCCAAAACTTTTTCTTTAGAAAGCTTAAGAAAATTTTCCTTTTTTAGGAACAGATAGAGCCTCTTTCGCTCTAGTTTTCTACCCAATTTGATCACTATTCAATTAGTATTAGAATAATAGAATTTCGATAAGAAGTGTTTTTGTTGAAAACGAGCGGATAGAATTTAAATGAGAATGGGTGTGGCATTAGAAACAGGGGCACTTTTGCATTTCATTTTTTCATCATTAAGTACGTTGTATTAAAAAACACAACACATTACAAAATGCAGCGTGAAAGGTTCTACAATTTGCAAAGAACAATTATAAAAAGATGAGATAGAAAAACAAAACAAATTCATTTTTTGCCAAAAAACAATCTCGTTATTGCAACATCGAAATTTGGTTAGCTTACGAGCAAACATTCCCAGGTGTCAGAGCACTTTTCAGCCGAGACTTAGTACATTTTGTAGACCTTAGTGAGCTATATTTACCATAAAAAAAGGTTCGTGCCCATGGCTTGTTTCTGAGGAGATCGAAAGTTGTTAGTTTTATAGCTGGACACTTCCAGTGTATCTCAACTGCGTTGTACACAAATGATCTTCGATTTTGATAAAGTTTTCAGCGTTTGTAGAGCTTTTAATTCTGAACATTTTGATAAAAAAAAATTGTTTCAAAATGCTGTAAGTAATAAAACCCCAAAAAAACGCTCAAGAAAAATTTTTCTCAGAGTTTTTGGGTTGTTTACTGCCTACAGTATTTTCATCAAAACAAAAGCATTTTGGAACAATTTTTTTGTATCAAAATGCTCAGAATTAAAAGCCCTACAAACGCTGAAAACTTCATCAGAACCGAAGATTATTTGTGTACAATACGATTGAGATACACTGGACATATCCAGTTATAAAGCTAAAAACTTTCGATCTCCTCAGAAACAAGCCATGGGCACGAACTTTTTTTATGGTAAACATAGCTCACTAAGGTCTACAAAATGTACTAAATTCCAACTGAAAAGCGCTCCGACACTTGGGAACGTTTCCTCGTTAGAGTTTTGTCCATTTTGAAAACAAAAAGTGCAACTATAAAATAAGTGATCCTTTATAAACTGTAGAGCTTTTCACGCTGCATCTTGTGATATATTTTATTTTTTTAATACAATCTATTATGTGATAATAAAGTGAAATGAAAAAGTGTCACACCCATTATGATCTAATGCTACCAGCTAATTTTCAACAAAAAACAGTTCTTATCGAAATTCTATTATTATAATACTAATTGAATAGTGATCAAATAGGGTAGAAAACTAGGGCGAAAGACGCTCTATGTTTTCGTAAAAGAAGAAAATCATTTCAAGCTTTCTATAAGAAAAAAGTATCTGGATCACTACTTTTGGATAACCCTAAGTAAAAAACGAACTATCATAATATATAAATATTATCATATTGATTTGAAACAATAGGTGTTTGAAAGTAAGAATTGATTGGTATTGTAAGAAAATGAATATACTACTTATTTCGCATAATATTACATTCAGTTGATACAACTGATGTAGTGGGAATGGTTGAGTTTCTAAAAATATTCACTTGTGTGACTAGACTAAAAACCATTCGAAATATGATCATTGGCATTGAAAAGATAAAACTAATAAATTATCGAAATGATTGCATTGATTATAACTATGCTATAGCTAATATAAATAATAAAAAAAAACATTTGTATATTTTCTAAACATTAACATTTTGACATACCAAATTCATTTATTAATAATCTTTAATTTCCATATGTATAAATATCAAAATACATTATACAAATGTCATATCTTTTAACGAAACAATCTATTATGAGTAATTTAGGCCACTATAGTTGCTAATTATTATTTTAGGATCATATTACATCTACTTTTATCCCAGGTCGAGCAACAGATATTAGAGACAGCTAAGAATATACGATCGTAGTTACACACGCATAAAATACAATAAAGTCTTTTTTGTGAAATTTAAATTATCTCAGCAATGCTTGTGAGGGTATGAGTAAAGAAAAAAAATCTCATTTGCAGACTATGAAAAATTTCCTTTTTGCAATGACAAAATTTTTTAAAGTTCGAATTCAAATAAACAATTAGATAACTCTTTAGATTTTCTTACTTCTGTTCTATTGGATAAGTAAAATAAACATGGTAGGTTTGCTAAACTATCTGTGTAATTCGAAAAACAATATTTCA